ACCCCCCCCCCCCCCCATGTGGTAGCAAGTGGAGAAAGATTTAATAGTAACTCTTGACTTTAGGCAATTAAATTAGGAGGACACATGGATAATACTCTTAGCCATCCCTTGCAAACACGTAGAAAGGGGAGTTTATATTAGTCATCCCTACGAGACTCCATATTATAATATCAACGGGAGTTCTTGGATTAACAAAGGAATACATACGAAATTATACTAAGTAATAACAACGGGATTTTGCAATTTTAAGGGAGTACGGTGCAATCCTTCTCAAGAATATCATACGGATTTTTCCCTACTCCAGGTATGTTAAGGTTAATCCTTTCCGTCATTTTGGCATGATCTCCTAACTACATGAGTTTGATAACGGGGCATAAAGAGAAGTTCATATTCCTGAACTTATGTATATTATCCTAGTCTGATAAATTACAATATTTTCTCTTATCAGGACTTTATATTCAGTTAAACATTGTCTTCTTCCAGTCAAGAGAGCAGAGGGTATATATATATATATATATATATATATATATATATATACAGTATTAGAGTATTTTCACCGCCCCCGAGCTATAATTGATGGGTAGGCCCCTATTGGCAACCTCTGATCAGATGGTAAGTTATATACCGAGCCTACTGTGGCTGAGCACCTATGAGCGAGCCCACCATGGCCGAGATACAGAGCCTAGTATGGCCGAGCGCCTATGAGCGAGCCTACTACGGCGGAGAAGTTACACGTTCCGAGCCTTACAGGGCCGGACATTTATTTTACTTACTATATTGAGAGATTTGAGTCAATATCAGCAGATAAGTATATCTCCAGATCATCTTTGACTCCTAGTTAGTTTCACTTATTATATTATCAATTCAGTATTAGGTTTTAGTTATTTTATTGCCTTGCATACTCGGTACATTATTTCGTACCGACGTCTCTTTTTTTGGGGATGCTGCATTTCATGCGTGCAGGTTTAACAGATAGATAGGTAGACCTCGTCAGTAGGTGTTGCCCGATTTCAGCTTTATCAGTATGCTCCACGTCCTTTGAAGTTGCCGGGTCTAGAGTTGTGTACATCTTGTATATATATATGTATATAGGTTATGGGTAGGTCGGGGCCCTGTTCTGATCATAGTACGTCCATCAGTAGAGGCTTGTAGACATATCCTGTCAGTTAGTGCAGTATGTTGAGCTTGTAGGCCTTGTATGTATATTTTGTTGGTTTGTCAACTCTAGTAGTTACGACGGCCTTGTCGGCTCAGCTTTATATTGATGTTTAGTCAGCGTTAGTTTCCGTTCAGTTTTATATTTTGCTCGCAAATTATCTTGCAATGTGGGCCCATGGCCAAAGTATGACATTATATATTCAGAGTCCCTTAGTCGCAAGTTGGTATGTAAGGATAGGTGAGGCACCGGATACCGGTCTCGCCCCCAAGTTCGGGGCATGACAAAAGTGGTATTAGAGCAGTTCTATTCTAGGGAGTCTACAAGTCGTGTCTAGTAGGGTCTTGTTTATAGATGTGTTGTGCACCACATTATATAAGTAGGGGACTACAGGGCATTTAGGAGTTGGTTACCCTTCTTTCAAATCTAAATCCTGATGTATAACCGAGTTGTAGGAAATTTGAGTTAAACTTACGTGTTGGCATTTGCATGCACAGATGACGATGACTAGGAAGACTACGACTAGTCAGAGGATAGATACAGCAGTAGGTGAGGGGACCAGCAGGGTACCCCCAGTAGATGGGGCCAATCTGAGGCCGAGGGAGAGACCCCTACTCAGCCATTACCGGCTCCTCCACCACCTGAGGAGATTCCTAGGGAGCTTGCACATCCAGTTCCCCCTCTGCTTCCATCAGATAAGGACTTGAGGAGTGCGGTGCATTTGTTGACACAGTTGGTAGCTACCGAGCGATAGGCTAGGGCATCCGCTAATGCAGGATCTTCTGAGAGGTCTGGGAGTTCAAGGGTCAGAGAGCTTATTGCTATGAATCCCCCAGAGTTCACGGGGACAGATCAGAGGGAGGACCCGCAGGATTTCATAGATCAGCTTCACAGGATCTTTCGGGTTATACATGCTATGGAGAAAGAGGAATTTAAGCTAGTAGCTTTTCAACTCCGAGATATAGCCATCCTTTGGTATGAGGGATGGGAGAGGTCCAGGGGACGTGATGCACCTCCAACTATTTCGGAGAATTTTTCGAATGCCTTCTTTGACTAGTACTTATCGTGGGAGATCCGACAGGCTCGAGTTGATCAGTTTCTAGCCCTCAAGTAGGGCAATATGAGTGTTTGAGAGTATAGTCTCCGTTTTGACTCATTGGCCAGATATGCACCATCCATAGTTGCTACTATGCGGGACAGGATTCATAGGTTTATAGCAGGATTGGACCTAGAGTTGACCGAGGCATGTGCCACCGCTGCACTACAGGATAGTATAGATTTCTCCCGGAATCAGGCATACGCCCAGAATATAGAAAGGGTTAGGCGTCGGCAGCAAGGTACAGAGAGGACTGAGTCAGGACAGTGTAAGAGGATGAGATTTGCCAGGAGTAGTCTCAGCGTAGTTATTGGCCCCAATACTTCGAACGGCCACCTAGGCCTCCGCCACCTCAAGTACATGGTTACAGGTATGACGGCTATACTCACTCAGGACCAGGTGAGAGCTCATGGGCGTCGGGTTTGCAGCAACAGCGAGGTTCAGGGCAGACATCGTCATTTTTCGCCGCGGTGTGACATCTCTGGTAGAGGACACTTGCGCCAATGCCGAGCCGATTATGATGCTTGCTCTATATGTGGACGTCCGGGGCATATGATACGAGATTGCCCAAATAGAGATTTTGGGGGTATGGCACAACCGGCAAATTCAGCAACAGGATCATCTATGTCCGTGCATCCTTCAGGGAACGAGTCTCAGTATTCGGCTGGTAGAGGTCGAGGCAGAGGTAGAGGTTCCAGTTCAGGTGGTAACCAGAATTGTAGCTATGCTTTAGCGGGTTAACAGGACTAGGAGTCTTCACCAGACGTTGTGACAGGTATATTGACCATTTGCTCTCATGATGCTTATGCCTTGATAGACCCAGGATCTACTTTATCGTGCATTACCCTATTTGTCTCTAGGAACTTTAGTATAGTGCCTGACATACTAAATGATCCTTTTGTGGTATCTACACCGGTTGGAGAATTGATTATTGCTAGGCGGGTTTAAGAGGTTGTACGGTGATAGTTTGTAGTCGTCAGACCTCAGCTGTCCTAGTTGAGCTAGAGATGTTGGATTTTGATGCTATCATAGGCATGGACTGGTTGGCAGCTTGCTATGCCATAGTTGATTGTCGAGCGAAGACACCCAGAGGTAGGTTTATTTCCTATTTGAAGGCGAGGAAAATGATCGCAAAGGGATGCATTTATCATATTGTGCGAGTTAAAGATGCAGATGTTGAGATACCTACACTTTTGTCTATTCTAGTAGTCAAAGAGTAAGCAGATGTATTTCCAGATGAACTTCCATGTATTCCTCCAGAGCGAGAGATTGAATTTGGCATGGATTTGATTCCGGGAACTCAACCAATATCCATCCCTCCATATAGAATGGCACCCGCCAAATTGAAGGAGTTGAAGGAACAGTTAAAAGATTTGATGGAGAAAGGTTTCATCAGGCCCAGTACCTCACCTTGGGGTGCACCAGTACTGTTTGTACGGAAGAAAGACGGCTCACTGAGGATGTGTATCGATTATAGGCAGCTGAACAAGGTAACTATTAAGAATAAGTATCCACTTCCAAGGATAGATGACTTGTTTTTTCAGTTTCAGGGGGATAGATGCTTATCAAAGATAGATTTGAGGTCGGGATACCACCAGGTCAGAGTTCGGGAGAAAGATATTCTAAAGACAACCTTCAGGACCCGATATGGCCACTCCGAGTTCCTTGTCATGTCCTTCAGGTTGACGAATGCACTTGCCGTATTAATGGACTTGATGAATAGCCTACTTCTGGCCATTTTTAGATTTGTTCGTGATAGTATTTATTGATGGTATTCGGTTTTATTCACGTTTAGAGAATGAGGATGCGGACCACCTGCGAGCAGTACTCCAAACCCTTCGTGATAGTAAGTTATATGCTAAGTTTTCTAAATGTGAGTTCTGGTTGAAGTCTGTAGCATTCTTGAGGCATATTGTATCCGATGGAGGTATAAAGGTAGACACTCAGAAGATTGAGGCTGTGAAATCCTGGCCTAGAGCTACCACTCCGACAGAGGTTCGTAGCTTTCTAGGCTTAGCAGGATACTACTGGAGGTTCGTAGAGGGTTATTTTTCCCTTTCGGCACCATTGACGAAGTTGACATAGAAAGAAACTAAGGTTCAGCGAATGGAGGCTTGCAAGCAGAGTTTCCAAGAGCTTAAGAATAGGTTGACCTCAGCGCTAGTTCTAGCACTTCCAGAGGGTCCAAATAGTTATGCCATGTATTATGACGCCTCATGTGTCGAGTTAGGATGTGTCCTGATGCAACATGGGAAGGTAATTGCATATGTTTCAAGGCAGTTAAGGAAGCACGAGCGGAATTATCCGAACCACGACCTCGAGTTAGCTGCGGTTGTCCATGCACTTAAGATATGGCAGCATTATTTATATGGTGTTCATGTTGATGTATTCACAGATCATAAAATCCTGCAATATATCTTCAAGCAAAAAAAGTTGAATTTGCGACAGCGGCGATGGCTTGAGTTATTGAAAGATTAAGATGTTAACATTCTCTACCATCCAGGGAAAGCTAATGTTGTAGTAGATGCCTTAAGTTGCTGATCTATGGGTAGCTTAGCACATGTAGAGGCCGAGAAAAGACAATTAACTAGAGAGATTAATCAATTGGCTTGTTTGGGGGTTCAGTTAGTAGACTCTGGCGATGGTGGAGTTGTACTCCAAAATGCTGCAAAATCATCTCTCATAGCTAAAGTAAAGGAGAGACTGTACGAGGACCCAGAGTTGGTCGAGTTGAGAGAGCGAGTTTCGCAGCAAAAGAAGCCATTGTTAGAGCTCAAAGGAGATGTGGTTCTCAGATACAGGGGTCGTTTGTGTTCCAGATATAGCAGGGTTACGAGACAAGATTACGTCAGAGGCACATTATTCGTGGTACTCCATTCATCCTGGGTCGACGAAGATGTATCATGACATTAAGGATGTGTACTGGTGGAACGATATGAAGAAGCACATTGCTGAGTTTGTTGTTCAGTGTCCTAGTTGCTAGCAGGTGAAGATAGAGCACCAAAAGCCCGAAGGGCTAATGCAGACTATAGAGATCCCGGCATGGAAATGGGAGGCGATAAACATGGACTTTATCACGGGTTTACCTCGTTCTGATCGTAAGTTCGATTCCATATGGGTGATAGTCGATAGGATCATGAAATCAGCTCATTTCCTACCGGCCAGGTCTACATATACAACAGAAGATTATGCAAAGTTATATATTAAGGAGATAGTGTGGCTACACGGAGTACTAGTATCTATTATATCTGACCATAGGGCCCAGTTTACAGCACATTTTTGGAGGTCATTTCAGATAGGTCTAGGGACTCAGGTGAATCTCAGCACAACTTTTCATCCACAGACTGATGGACAAACCGAGCGCACAATTCAAATGCTCGAGGATATGTTACGAGCATGTGTGTAGGATTTTAGAAAAAGTTGGTATGAACATTTACCTCTTATCAAGTTTGCATATAATAACAGTTACTACTCCAGTATCCAGATGGCTCCGTACGAGGCTTTGTATGGGTGTAAGTGCAGATCTCCTATAGGGTGGTTTGATGTTTGAGAATCTGGGTTAAATGGGCCAAACCTGGTTCAGCAGGCCCTAGAGAAAGTAAAGCTTATTCGGGAGTGACTATTGATAGCCAAGAGTCGTGAGAATTCATATTCTGATGTGCGGCGACGAGACTTAGAGTTTGGTGTTAATGACTGGGTATTCTTAAAGGTGTCACGTATGAAGGGCCTGATGAGCTTTGGCAAGAAAGACAAGCTTAGCCCACGGTATATTGGGCCTTATAGGATCATTTAGAGAGTGGTCCAAGTAGCTTATGAGTTAGAATTGCCCTCTAAATTGGAGTCTGTCTATCTGGTTTTTCACATATCTATGTTACAGAAGTGAATTGGCGATCCTACCCGAGTGGTGTCCACAAATGATGTACAGATTATGGAGGACTTGTCATACAAGGAAATTCTAGTTACCATCCTAGACCGACAAATCCGTGAGCTACGAAATAAGGAGGTAGCCTCCGTGAAGGTTTTATGGAGAAGCAAGAATGTGGAAGAGATGGCGTGGGAAGCGGAGGAAGAAATGAAGTCTAAATACCCCCACCTATTTCAAACAGAAGAGCTCGAGGTGGGATACCTCAGCACAGTTCTGTTCAGGCCAGTAGGTCATCAGGTAAGCTCTTATATTTGACTTTCAGAATTTATAATGGACATCTGTGTGAGGCCAAGTGTTGCTATTTACAGACATTGGCCATGTGTGGCATGTATAGTATGTTTTCTTGCTGCATACAGGTTGGTTTAGTCTAGTGTACGAAGGAGACTCTGGCAAAATTTTCCCAAAGTCTCTAAGAGTAAACATTCGAGGAAGAATGAATCTAAGGGGGGAAGGATGTTACATCTCGTATTTTCGCACGTCAAAGTTTCGTCTTCAGTTACGTAGACTAGGGGATGAGATTATCTTGAGATTATAAGCGTTTATTCTATTTATAACAAGTGATAAGGAAGTGCCGTAAAAGATAAAGGGTAAACAAATTAAAGAAAATGAGTTTCGTTGAAGGTTGTCGATGTGGGATAAAATACGGTCCGAGCTACAATACCCGGTATTTATGGACTAGTGCCATACAAGGTATCCCATAATGAAGATAATAGGATACATAAAGTGTGTTAAAAGTGAGTAGTATTTTAAGTAATTTGAGATAATTCTTAATTATGTGGGTAATTGATTAATTATTGGTTTAATGGGAAATTAACCGTGTAATTAAGTATTTGTGGATAATTAGTAGGTGGGGACAAATCCCCCCCCCCCCCTCCCCATGTGGCAGCAAGTGGAGAAAAATTTAATAGTGACTCTTGACTTTAGGCAATAAAATTAGGAGGACACATGGATAATACTCTTAGCCATCCCTTGAAAACAGGTAGAATGGGGAGTTTATATTACTCATCCCTACACTTTATCTTCAATTGATATCAAAATTCATTTGGAGGGGATTTGGAAATTCATACGAGACTCCATATTATAATATCAATGGGAGTTCTTGGATTAGCAAAGTAATACATACAAAATTATACTGCGTAATAACAACGGGATTTTACAATTTTAAGGGAGTACGGTGCAATCCTTCTCAAGAATATCATACAGATTTTTCCCTACTCCAGGTATGTCAAGTTTAAGCCCTTCCTTCATTTTGGTATGATCTCGTAACTACATGAGTTTGATAACTAGTCATAAATAGAAGTTCGTATTCCTGAACTTATGTACATTATCCTAGTCTCATAAATTATAGTATTTTCCCTTATCTAGACTTATATTCAGTTAAATATTGTCTACTTCCAGTCAAGAGAGTAGATGGTCTATATATATACAGTATTACAGTATTTTCACCACCATCGAGCTATAATCGATGGGCAGGCCCTTATTGGGCAACCTCTGATCAGATGGTAAGTTATATACCGAGCCTACTATGGTCGAGCGCATATGAGCGAGCCCAGCATGGCCGAGATACAAAGCCTATTATGGTCGAGCGCTTATGAGCGAGCCTACTACAGCGGAGCAGTTACACGTTCTAAGTCTTATAGGGCCGGACATTTATTTTACTTACTATATTGAGAGAGTTGAGTCAGTATCAGCAGGTAAGTATATCTCCAGATCATCTTTGACTCCCAGTTACTTTCAGTTATTATATTATCAGTTCAGTTTTAGCTTTCAGTTATTTTATCGCCTTACATACTCTGTACATTATTTCGTACTGACGTCCCTTTTTTTGGGGACTCTGAATTTCATGCGTGCAGGTTCAGATAGATAGACGGGTAGACCTCCTCAGTAGGTATTGCCCGAGTTCAGCTTTATCGGTAAGCTCCATGTCCTTCGAAGTTTCTGAGTCTAGAGTTTTGTGTACATCTTGTGTATATATGTATATAGGTTATGGGTAGGTCGCGGCCCTGTTCTCATCACAGTACATACATCAGTAGAGGCTTGTAGACATACCATGTCAGTTAGTGCAGTACGTTGGGCTTGTAGGCCTTGTATGTATATTTTGTTGGTTTGTCAGTTGTAGTATTTATGACGGCCTTCTCGGCCCAGCTTTATATTGACGTTTAGTCAGCCTTAGTTTCCGTTTTGTTTTATATTTTGCTTCATAAATTGTCTTGCAATGTGGCCCCATGTCCAAAGTATTACATTATATGTTCAGAGTCCCTTAGTCGCAAGTTGGTACGCAAGGATAGGTGAGGCACCGGGTGCCGGTCTCACCCCCAGGTTTGGGGCGTGACACTAACCGTGTTTGGAGGAATTACCCCTTAGGATTTGGTTTTTTTTATGATAATTATGATGTGTGGAAGTCGTGTACGCAAGGTGACGAGTGCGTACATGGGCTAAAGATGGAATTTACCGGTTTTAGCTATGTATATTCCTTTCATGCCTTAATTGATTAATCTTAATATATTATATTCATCATTATTAGTCTCTTTTCTCATGTTCTACTTGTCTTATCTCTTACATGATAATTGCCCTACATGTTTAGTTGAACTTCTTGTTTCCTTTATTTCATATTCATTATTTAATCGTTGAACTCTTTACTTAAAGTTGTTATTCCTGGAATATCTTGATGTTGAAATTGGTATTAAGTTATAAAGGTCGTCATTTGCGTTGAGGCAAAGTGTTGAGTTGTGAAATACTATTTTTGTTGAGTTGTTCACCACTGGTTATTATTGTTGAGACTCTTGTGTACATTGTGGTTGAGCCATGGGCTCTTTATTGTGAAAATACTATTTTTGTAGGATTCTTTGGCAAGTTGTGCTATTGGGCACTTGAGGTGCGATTTGTGATATGTTGTGATATTTATACGCATGCGGTGGTATAAAGTTTTGGGGTTGAAACGCATACGCTGAGATAAGGTGGGCTTGATACATGTGGCTAGTAGGGGAACTATTAGAAGCCATGCGGTGTGATAAAGTGGACTAAAATGCGGGATGCTATTTCGGGAAATTGATTTATAAAACTAAATGCAAGGCTCCTGCAGTGAACTAAGGAAAGACTGTGAATTGATTTGTGATTTGAGACTACAAGGAGGTACCTCAGTAGTGACTCTTGTTGATACTTTCTATTTCTTCACTTGTGCTTTTGTTGTTTTTTCCGTGTCATAGTATCCCTTGTTTTCTTCTGTGAAGTATTATTTGCCTTAGTTCGGTGTAGCTATTCTCGGTATGCTTCTTTAATTATCTCATTTCTATTGCTCTCATTATTTTTACTGTTATACACTTGTTCAGTTTCTTATTTAGTCTAGTAGGGCCTTGATCTGACCACGTCACTACTCTACCGAGGTTAGGCTTGGCACTTACTTGGTACCGTTGTGGTGTACTCATGCTATGCTTTTGCACATCTTTTTGTGCAGATCCTGGTACCTCTTACTAGACCAGGCACTAGTGAGAGCTTAGTTTCAGAGACTTAAAGGTATACCTTACGGCGTCCGCAGGCCTCAGAGTCCCCCTCTACCTAGTTTATTTTATTTCCTTATCCCTTATTAGCCACTGATGTATAGAGATATTCAGTACCACTTCATAGAGCTTGTGACTTGTATTTCGCCGGGTTTTGGGAAATTATGTATATACTAAGTTATGGAGATTTTATTATCATTAGTTGGTTAGTTTTGAGACTCTAAACATTATTTTAGTTATTTCTACATGAATGTTAGGCTTACCTAGTCTTAGAGACTAGGTGCCAGCACGACATCATACGGAGGGAATTTGGGGTCGTGACAAGTTGGTATTAGAGCTCTAGGTTCATAGGTGTTATGAGTCACAAGCAAGTTTAGTAAGAGTCTCGTGGATCAGTACGGAAACTTCTGCACTTATCATTGGGGGGCTATGGAACTATTAGGAAAAAGTTTCACTTCTTTGATTCCTTATCGTGCGGATTTGTTGACTTCGGAATTCTAAATCTCTGTCTTTCTATTCTCTCACGGATGGTGAGGACACGCACAAAATGGATCAGATGATCAAACACCCGCACCCCCTGCTACAACCGTGAGAGGTCAGGGCCGGGTTAGAGGTCGAGGACGTCCACGTGGCACAGCCATAGCACCTACACAAGCTTCAATAAAGGAGCCACCAATAGCTATAGTTGGAGAGCAAGCACCTGAGACACCTGTTACTACCCCTACACTTTAGGAGACTCTCCCCCAATTTTTGAGCATGTTTGGCACTTTAGCTCAGGCAGGGTTGATTCCACAAGCTCCTGCCATATCTCAGGCCGGGGGAAGAGCACAAGCTCCTGCAGATCGTACCCAGAGTAGCGGGCCCAGGTTGACCAGGTCCCAGAGGTCATACCTGTATAGCCGGTTGTCCCAGTTCAGCCCGAGCTTAGGGCAGCAGCTTTTGAGAGGGAGCAACTTAGGCTCGAGAGGTAAAAGAAGTACCACC